TCTGATGACAGTGGAGTTAGAAGCTATTCTTCTATACGACCTGTTGCCATTATTTCTGATGATATGGAGTGTGTACTTTAATGGACGTCTGACACTCGTTAAGTTGGTGTTTTGAATCAAGTTTGTCTGAAATGAATTATTATCGCATTACAAAAGTGAACAGAAGTAGTTGTCTGTGTAGAGGAGAACCAATATAGAATTCAAATATGGTGTAACTGAGGATTTTTTTTTTTGTGGTTGGTGGGGGTGTGAGGGGTTCTCTAAGGGAGTATGCTCTCAATACGTGAAACCATATGCGTGTAAGTGGTACTGTCTCAGCAGTTTGGATACTTGGGCGAACTTCTCTTATCTCTTTTTTTGACCTACCACGAAAATTATGGTTGTAATTGCAAGAATTAATGTAACTATAGTTTGCTATCTTCTAATTTTTGTCAACTTGTAGATTTGGAATGGAAACTAACTTATGTAGGATCTGCTGAGGATGAAACATATGACCAGCTACTAGAGAGTGCACTTGTTGGACCAGTTAATGTTGGCAAGTATCGATTTGTTTTTGAGGTAACTTAAGCCATCTCCTAGGTAGTTCAGCAGTTGACCTTTCCTTTGGATTGCTTCTGCTGAGTTCTTACTCTGCTTCTTTTGGTTTTCCCATTGTGTGAGACAGGCAGATCCACCGGACCAAGCGAAAATTCGTGAAGAGGATATTGTTGGTGTCACAGTAATTCTGCTGACATGTTCTTATGTTGGACAAGAATTTGTTCGAGTGGGATATTATGTTAACAATGACTATGATGATGAGCAGCTAAGAGAGGAGCCACCTCAAAAGGTTTTGATTGACAGGCTTCAAAGGAACATTCTGGTTGACAAGCCCAGAGTTACAAAGTTTCCAATAAATTTTTATCCCCATAACGATGATAATGGTGAACAGCCCCAGGAATATTCTACTGACACTGCTACAGGCATTACTCATGTGGAAGAACAAGTTTCATCGCCTGATCATCAGTCTGAGGTGCAACTTCCTTGAGTCCGAGCACTCAGATTTTTGCTAGATGTCTTCAGCAAATGTTCAAGTTACAAAAAATATAGTTCTACCATCAGAATTTATTGCAGGAAGAAAGCACCTGCAGTAGCTGTTCCAAGGATTGCTATCCAACTTGTCCTTCATTATACTTTAAGGGTGTCCAGCGAAATTGTTCAATTCACCTGTCAATTTGACAATTTTTTTGTGGGCTATAATGTCACAATCTCCTTCAAGTGAGGAATGATGGTGGGTATAATCTAGCATTTCCATTCCCATTAAAAATCTCCTCACTCATGTCGATCAATCTACAAAAGTCCCATTTAAAGTTCTCTCTTGCACAAACAACGTGTATTTCCATTCCCATTCCCATTTGAAGTTCTCTTTTGCACAAACAACGTGTAGTGACTCAGCAAAGGTATCAAAAGGGGCTCTTTTAAACTCCCATTATTCACAGCCTTAGACTTCCTTAACGATTTATTAAGTTTGCCCCTGACAGCTGAATGCAATATGTTCTCATATTTAGTTTTGATCTTTAAAGACGATACAAAGTGAAAAATAAAGGGAAAAAATTGATGCTCAAAACCGTTAAGAAAAACTAACATTGATCTTTGAAGACGATACAAAGTGAAAAAAAAAAAAGCGGAAAAAATTGATGTGCAAAACCGTTAAGAAAAACTAACAATCCGACAGTGGTTACCCCCCCCCCCCCCCGCGGGGCCTCTTCCTTTGTTTTTCCTTTTTTCAGTTGAGGATAAAGTAAAATTTGTTATAGGGTAATTGGCGTGCTGAAAACCATAGTTGGCCATCAAGAGAGTTACTTGGATGTTGGTCAAGGGGTCGAATCTCTTGATCTATATTCTAAAAATTCAGGACTTCCTGAAATGTTTCACCAGCGGATGCATAGGCACCCATCTAAACCGGTGGTAGTTCAGTTCCCCCAAATTCTCCCTAGTCCCGTTGGATCAACCCCCTCCTTATAGTATAGAGTAGAAATAAATCTATCATATCCGGGGAAAAAAAAATTGCCATGTTGAATTTTCCTTTTTATGTTGGCACTGAACAAGTTACTTACAGATGTAACTGGGTACGACCTTGTTTTCATTAATCTTTAGAATGGTAGATAGCTTAGATTGATTTTCCAAAGAATTATGAGGAAATTATCTACACAATTTTTCTCTTAATTTTTTGACAAAAGCCATTGTATAAGATTAATCTAACATACACACACAAAAAGAAAAGAAAGATTATTCTAACACAAATTAAAATTAGAATACATTTTCTAATTGATTACAATTTTCAAGAACTTATTAATTGCCTCACATGTTTGACACTTTATAATGCATTCCAAATTTATTTTGCATTTTTGGTTCATGATTAATTGTGCTAGTCGTATGAGAGTGAATAAATTAGTGGCATGGTCTTTACCATATCTTGTCACGTTTTGGTATCTAGCGCTTATTACCAGAGACTTATCCTATGCCAACCAGGATTTAGAAACTTACCATATAGGAAACCAGGCACTATATATATGTATATATATACACCATATACAGGCTCTCACCATTCATTTGTTCTTTCGTTTCTTTTAGATAGTGTTTAGTTGCAAGGAAAGTGAAGGCTTGTTTAAACTTCTTGGATAGATACTATTGAATTACTAGTGCATTGATTAGAGACTTATACATTGAAATAAAAAAATACATTCATTTGCTAAAATATTACCTAAAAGGAGCATAAAATAAGTAATAACTTATTTAATTGCATAATTATTTCAAAAAAAATAAAAAAAAAACTAACATGAAAATAAAGTTGAATGCATATACTTTTATGCTATTACATCTAAGTAATTTATTCAAAGTCATACCCTAAAAATAAAGAAAACACAAAAATACATCACTGTCAATAAACTAAAAATTATTTTTTTTATTAATGAATTGGAAATTCTTATTAGTTACTATTCTAATGAGACTCAGACTTTCATAAGGAATTTAAGAAATCCTCACTATAGTCGTCGTCATCATCAATCCTGTTTGAGCCGCCAATGTTATAATACCTCTTTAAATATATAATTATCTTATCTGGTGGATAAGTTAAAAATATCTTTGGTTTAGTGTCATTCGTCACAAGATTCTCAAAACTTTCGTAAACACAATTTTCATTCAAACCTTCGATCAACTGCCTTTATGTCATTAAGCAAAGTAGATGGATTGATAAATGCTTGTTCATTTTTTCTATCAATTGCTTCTGCCATTTGCTTGATACTTGATAAAACTGTATTCATGGTCTGAATGCAGGTTTTGGCATTTTTTGCACCATGAGTTTCATCCTTATCAGTTGTGTTTGAGGATAAAGCGCCCCTTAACAGCAATTTGTTGGGGAGTTTCTTTAATTTGACCGTTATATTCACCTCCATCTACTTCCAACTCATTTTCATCTATGGTTCCATTTTTTCTCATTTTGTTTTGCATTGATATCAGGACGGCCACGACATCATTCACCAGTTGCTACATCGCTTCCACAAACGATTCCCAATTCTTCAAGCATTTCAATGCATTTATGTCTTAAATTTTTTACTCTTGGGCGTGCCTATAAAAAGAACATATAAAATTATGTAAATTTTAAGAATAATTTTAATAAATAAACATAACTAGAACATATAGAATACGAGTTACCTTTACATATGTTTCCCATACTTCATCTGTGCATTCCACTTTCTTCGTTGTAGAATTAAAAATAAATCCGCTTTGAGACAACATTTGCTCAATGTCTCTATAAACCCTTTTGATTGATTTCATACAATTTATCACATTATCCTTGTTGACTTCAATATTAAATTCTTTTTTCAAAGCTTTAGCCGGCAGCAACATATGCTACGTATTTGAATCCTTTATTGCATGACTCGTTTCCTTCGTGGCATTGAATGGCAAGACCGTCCACCAAGCTTTTATCCATTTCAGCGGTTCATATTCAATTTTTTTTGCTTGTCTTGATATGATTGAGTAGCATTATTAAATTTTTTCATAGTTCTTCAAAAAAATTTATCCGTTGACATTTTCCCATGACTTGTTTTCCCATGATTTTTGCGGGATGAGGAAACTTGGTAGTTATGTGAAAATTTTTTTCTTATGGATCCTACTGCTTTCTTGTCAAACAAATGGCAAAAAATTGCAAGAATGATATCTTCCCTCACTTTTCCTGTAACATTCCTGTCAACCAAACACGACAATTCAAATTTTCCTATATTATTTTCCTGTCTATCAAACACAAATAGAAAACTTTAGTTTCCTTTTTCTTTACATCACTTCACTTTACTTTTCTCGCGACGTACCTTTTTGCACAACTTTCTTGTCAAACAAACAGAGCGTTAATGTCAATTAACATAGGAGTTTTTTGCTAAAGTAATTCAGTTCTAGAAAAATATTCCCAAGATAACACAATTGAAATAATATACCGTTTCTAATGTATTTGATGCTACATGGATTTCTAGTGCAAAATATTGAATCAAATTTCTACTTCTACAACTACACGATACCCATCTTTATTCTATACTCTTGTCTTTTTTTTTTTTTCAGCATTATAGGAGAAATTTTATTAAATGTGCTGCACTGAATCTACTTAAAAATAATGATAATCATTCCAAACTTCATTGTTACAAATTATTGTTCTTTATATAGAATTTTAATGGGGTAAATTATTTGCCTTTGTTTTACTATTGGTAATAGGATGATTATTTTTTAAGCAAAAAAAAAAAAAGATTTTGAAATTGGGCATGCATTTTCCTCTTCTTTTGTTATCAAGGTGGTATCTATCATTGTATGACCATACAAATTATTTCAAGCATTTTGGGTTGTCTTGATATTTTTGTCTAAATTTAATGCACCACTGATCAAGCACTCAAGACATGGTTTTCAATTTTTTTTCCAATATTACCCCCATAAAAATTCCCATATATCGGTTTCTAGCTTTTGAGTTGATATTTTCCTTTTTTTTTTTTTTCCTTCCCTTCCTACAAAGATATAACCTTTTTTTCCTCCCTTCCCACAAAGATATATCCTTGTACAATTAATTGTTGTCAAGTGACTTTTTCCTTTTTTTAGTCCCTCCATTCTTAGTGAGATATGCCTACATAGAATAAATTTTTATTGGCGTTTTGTTCCATATTACTTTGTAAGAAGATTTATAGTTATTTAATCAGGATTAGAAGTGACTAAGAAAAGGTAAAGTATAATTAAGAAAAGATTGGAAGCCTTTTGAAAAGGGAAAATAAAGGAAATTAAGTTTCAAAAGTCTTATGTAGATTATACAAGTTATTATAAAGGGAATATGATTTAAAAGTGTATTATTATGGGAATAATTTTTAAAAACAAAGTTATTTTAGTAATCCTAAGACCAATAGGATTTGAAAACTTACCAGAAACCGGGAGTTACAACAATGTATCGTAAGCATCCCCGTTCTTTTCTTTTCTATATTTTTGTGGATTATTTTGAACTTATAGGGAGAGAAACATGGAGGGAAAGCTGATTGTAGTTAGAAAGTTGTATGCATACAATTTAAGGGCAGATTTTCCATCATTGAGCAAAATCTTGCAACTTATCGCTTCATAGCGGTAGATACAGAGTTTCCAGGAGCAATATTTCGCAGCCAAAAACCTTATCACCTGAAGAAAATTACCAGTTGATGAAAGAGAGTGTCAACAGTCTAAAACTTCTTCAGTTGGGCCTTACGCTATCAGACTCGAGTGGCAAGCTTCCTAATTTGGGTACTTATAGTTATTTCATATGGGAATTTCAATCTTTTGAAAGCACATGAAATTGATTTTGTCAAGAATTTGGTTCATGGCATCAGTTTTGTAGATTTTGCCAAGTTTTTTTTTATGGAATCAGGGTTGGGATTTTCTTTAAGATCATTCACAGAGTGCAAAAGAGAGTATGATCCTCACAAACTAACGTGGGTGTTCTTTCATATGACATGGGCTACCTTATCAAAGTTCTAACTCAGCAAGATTTGTCAAAAAATCACGTTAGATTCATGGCCTTAGTGATGATCTATCTTGGGACTTTATGGTTGATGCTTACCTTCCTTTTATGGTTCCTCCAATTTCAGACATGTGGACTGCCACTTGATAAGAAAGTTGAAGCAGGAGAACAAAAAAACTGCAAACGGGCTTCCTTTGTCGCAGTGAAGCAAGGGCCATCTGACAATTACAGTTCTAGAAGTGATTAGGGATTCTTTTACTAACTCCCTTTTGTTCTGGTGATTATTCCTCTGGTATGCTGCAACTTTGAATTCTATTCACTGCCATTCTTGCCTACAGACCAGACAAAAAGGGGAAAAGGAGAAAAAATGTCATTAAGTTAACTTAAGAAGTAAATAGGCAAGTCCCTGTGCAATAACAACACAATCAAGTTAATGCAGAAGACAAGACTGAAATAGTGCCTCTTGATGAAGATCATTTCGAGTATGTTAAGCAAAAGTACCAAGTCCTTTACCCAATGACCATACTCAAAATACTCTGGTAAAGTAGACTAGTATGACACAGGTCCTACTACTAAGTGTCCCTCGAAATTCTTACTTTTTGCCACAATTATCAAACCACCCCTTTCCCTTTCCTGTTTCCAACCTGTCCAGAATTTCCTGATTTCCACCCTACCAATCTCTCAAAGCATGGAGATGGCATCCTTCCCAGCTTCCAATATGAGCCTTGGTCTGACTCCCACCCTCCCAGAATGGCTCAATAATCCAAATACTCCAATCCTCTATTTTGGGCATCTCCAGGCTAGACTGACTGATCCCTTACCGTAACTTCTGATCCCACTTCATCCACTGATCACCTCTGTTGAGGGTTTGACAGCAGTCATAGCTGTGGTTCAAATCACCCCTCCTAAGTCCTAGCCCTCATCATGTTCCTCTTAATCCATCCAGCATGATCCCTGCCACACCCTCTTCCCCATCCCTCAATGTGGGTAATTTGTGATTATCAATCAACAAAACTCCTTAGCTTTTTGTGGGAGACAAAATTTGTCTAAAGAACGCAAACTTGACCAATGTTAACTTTGTGAAACGTGTTGAATATTGGGTAAAAGTTAACTATTTGCCAAAACAGTTATGAAATTCACAAAACTGAAATCAGTTTGTATACTAATTTAAGTTGGATTTTATTGCATATAGAATAAACATTCGGTTACAAGTTACTCCACCTAATTTGGTCATTATCCAAAAAGAAATACTTGTTATGCTACAGTAAAAATCTGCCAAAGGCATACCTCATTATCCCAATCAGTGCACAGGTTTACTGTAACAAGCGCTACAACTTGCACTGAAAGGCCACATATGATTCCCATCCAAAGTCCCTGCAGGCAGTTAAAACTTGAAAGTGTCAATCGTCGAAGGCACAAAATTTTCAAAATCCATTGATAGGAGTGGGTGGGGGAAGGGGATACCATGCCTCCAATGTGGAAGAAGAATGCAAGCAGAACAGCTGAAGGTATTCCTACAATATAATAAGCTCCAAGGTTGATAAATGCACAGAGGTTTTGCCATCCACATCCTCTTGCAGCCCCTAGAAGTAATTGGCAAACATCAAAGAAACATTCTGGAGATTGCCATAGCAGGCAATGAAAAAGAAATTCCAAGATATGCTTTTACGGTATAAGCAAAACTTAGCAACCTGATAAGACACATTGGAATCCATCAAAGAAGTCAGATAGTGCAAGGAGAGGCAACATCTTAGCCACATATCTAACCACCTCTTCTTCATTGCTATAGAGCTTTCCCCATATATGCCGAACCAGAATGGTTGTTGTTCCAACAATTGCGCCCTCTGTAAGGGCCACTATGACTACCACACCCAATGCTAAGCGCGCGCCTTGTGGATTTCCAGCGCCCAATTCATTTGAAACTCTCGTACTAAAATGATTACAGGGTAAAATCATTTTCAACCAGCTAAATGCATGGAAAACAGTAATCAAGAAAAATAGTTCGATCCTTGAGGTATCCGTTAATTAATGTCATTGTTAAAACCTTCTGTCATTGTTAAAGCTTAAAAGCATGATAAGAACTTTGATTGGGTTTACTAACCTTATGGCAGCACCAAGACCGACAGAGATCATATAGACCATCCAACATGTATTGAGGCTGTCAGAACAAGAAAAAACAACTGATGTAATCAGAAAAGACTAGTATATAACGTCTTTCAAGTGCGCCTGAAGCTTTATTTCTGTGAGCTAGTATAACATCTTTCAAGTGCTGTAATCTGATATATTAAGTTCAGTAATAGAGACAAACCTGATAGATAGGACTGATGTTTCTAGCTTTGGATTTGGCAAAAGACCAGATAATAGAACAACCATCTCAAATGACCAATACTCCAAACTGTGGCTCAAACAAATAATGATAAATTGTCAACTAAAGAAAAATGTTGGGCAATACATGATAGAATAACCAAAAAAGAAGGTGGGGAACAAAACACGTGCATCCATTGTTCCTTGATCTGTACACATGCTTCGTGGAAGGTCCTTTCGGAGATGCATAAAAGCTTCTCACCAAACAGTGCTATACATGCTTCAGTATGACAATATCCTCTGTTTTTAGGTTAGGTGCCAGTACCATACAACTTACCAAATCATGATAGCTGAAGGAATTGCAAGTTTTATAAAACTGACGATACCAAGCAAGGCCTCTTTAGAGAAGCCAGTCCAAGTACTTGAGCAAGCTGGTGAAAACTTGATGTACGCCGTCAGCAAAAACACATTAACCCAATATGATATGCCGTTTGCAAGAGCAGCTCCTCTGTTTCCAAATCCAGTTTTGAACACAAGAAACCAGCATAAAAGAACATGAAATAACGCTGTAATGCCAGAGCTCATCATCATAGGAAACACAATATTTTGAGTCTGTAAAAATCTGTTGATGCATTGAAGGAGGGCATAGGCAAAAAGGCCTGGTATCATTGACCGATTAAATTTCCCAGCTTCAATAGATATCTCCTGATCTTGACCAAGAACTATTAGAATGTGGTCTGTGTAGAACCAAATCAATGCAAGGAAAATGCTTAACACTAGAAGAACTATCATCCCTCGCTGCGTATAGATGCCAAGCATACGATACTGTTTGGCTCCATAAGCTTGTCCACATAGCGTTTCCAGTGCACTTCCCATTCCTAACTATCAAAACATTGTTAGAATACAAGATTCCGAGCTAGTGAACACTGAGATAAATCGAAAAAGTTTCTGGGCTTTCAACTAGAGACAACAAAAACCATGTAGTATGTCATAACATATATGGCAACTATGCTTTGCGTGACATACTGCCTACGAAATTTGATCCTTGACACGGCTATAATTATGCTTTTACTGACTAAAGTTGTACTTATTGGAATAGTACATTGAATTAAGGAGTTTAATATGTTCATTCAAGGGGGGGGGGGGTGTGGGGGTGCACAATATTCTCTTCAGTGCAACTATGCAAGTTATGGGTGGAGAAAGTTGCTTTCTGCAGTGGAGCAAAACATGAAGCTAATTTTCATCTATTAGTAACAAACTATAATATTCCTTAAAAATCCCTCTTGATTTCTTCTTTAAATCAGGTTCTGATATCAAAACCAAAGATCGGCAAAATTCTGGAAGTACATGATTAGGGACATGGGCATCAATGCATTACATGCCAATGAATCTACAAATCGATGATTATGGCCATGATACCTTCCTATGACTTATCCACGAGGCTGGCATAGCGGCATTCGAACTGCCAATTTCATGTTTAAAATAGCTATCTGCTACTAAGCTGCTATCTTTACTTAACATGATGATTAAACAAGGAATACTTTAGTCATGACTTCAAATTGAATCGCAAGGCTAATGAAATTTGAAGCAAAAGACAGGCGAATAAGGCCAGATAATAGAATTTACTGATTCTTCTGTAACTAACTATAATATCTAAGTTAAAGATACATAAATCATCACCAATTTTGTTATTTTCTTGATAATCTTAGAGCTGAACTAAAAACAAAATAAAGGGTAATAAATGAAAAAAAGATTTGGAAGGGACATAGACTTACCAATACGTTGAATCCAGTGACTGAAGCAAAGGAAGTAGCCATCGAAGCACTTGAAAGAGGCAGCTCCCCAAGATGGCCGACAAACATGATCGAAATAATTTGTAAACAGTACTGCAGAATGCTCACTGCAATCAGAGGCAGTGCTAGTCCTAGCTGCCTCTTTACTTCTTCAATAATCTCCCCTCTATAACAACCTTGTTCAGATACCTCTCTATCAATGCAGTGGCTTCTGCCTTGGCTTGGGATCAAAGGGGCTACAGGGCTCGAGTCATATCTGTCCATTCTCCTTCTTTTCCCAATCAATAATGTTCTTCAGTCAAGATTCTCACTCTCTTTAACTGCTTTTGCAAGTCTTTTATCAATTTATGATGAGATAATCATATTTCAAGTATTAATTGGTTTATTATTAAGGCAGTGGCTCCCACTTAATATAAAATGTAATCCAGCAATGCTACTGAAGAATATTAGGAACTACAGCTGGGAAGATTTAGACAGCAAGATTACGAAAATCTTAGCCTACAAATGGTGAAAAAAAAAAGAAGAAGCACTGATTGAATATTTGTCAGATTGACATTTTGCATATAGTAATCTTCACTGCAAGATATCATTGTAATAAGAGTACGAAAATATGAAAAGATTCAATGGTGATTCACTCTGATCAACCAATCATCGGGAAGGATAACTCTTTCGCCAACTCCAGTGGAATTCGTCCTTTACTTTTTGGCATTTTCTGCTGGACATGCCACTTGTCGGTTGATTCAGCCATGCGAAAGTCTAATGTTGTCTTGTCAAGAATTATAATAATTATGACCCTTTGAGGATGTTCAAGGCTAATGCTTGAGTTACATTCATTACCCTTTAAAATAATTCGTCTTGTCAATCATGGAGATACATATAGTTTAAACAATTGGGGTAATACTACTTGTCTCTGACACCATGAATGCAGAAAATGTCAATATATGGATTGCCTTGGATTGGATGAGACAAACTGTTTCTTTAGCGGACTGCGTCCCATCCGCAGAAAAGAGTATCGCCTGCGCATTTTGACTTGGATGGTCAAGTGAATGGCAAATTTTGATTTCTATCAAAAGGTAGAGTCCAAGTGTTTGATGATACTTCCAAGTTTCCGAGAAATGGCAACAAATCCACATAATAAAGTATAACAGGAATTGGCCCAGCCCCCTTCTTTCCTCCTTAATTTAATTCTTATGACCTGGAAGTGTTCTTTACATCGATTGATATTATTGTTCTATAACCAGTGCACCAAACTTGAAAAACTAGCGTAAAAAACATGAAAAAGTATAACTGGAGACATCACATAATTCTAGCAATTAATTGTACTTATATGAGAAGAGAACATTACTGATGACATTAGGATGAATTCTTTAATACATCTATACACATGTACTGCATCAAATGTAACTTGCATATGCTGATCTCTAGCCAAGTAACAGTCTTGATACATTTCAAGTAGAAAAGCTTATCCATAAGTCGTTGAGCAAGTTTTGAGATGAAAAGTTCAATCAAAGCACATGAAATAGGCATGCAAATGACATAAAATCTCACTGACTATCCATTCACAATTCAAATTGCAGAAAGCTATTTGAGACAGTGGACCAAAATAGCGCTCCGCTCATTAATGCAATGAGAGATTTATATGAAAATGAAAGAAAGAAAAAGGAGGACGGGATTTCTTGGTTTAGATGGTAAAAACTGAAGACAGAGGCTATCTAGTTTATCCTAGAGTCCTGTGATCTTCTCATCATTGTTTCACCACAAAATAGCGATGACAGGAGGGCCCTCCAATGTGATCACTGACAATGCAGCAAACAAGCTGAATGCTCCGTGTTTAGCCAAATGATCAACGCATTGGTTTGCCACTTTAAAGATGTATTTTATCTGGTTTTAAGAAATCTGCTGACTCAATGCCTGCTGTCACCAAGAATGGTAAAAAGCACAAGAGAGTCTGAATTTATTTCCTCGAAACAAATCGGTAGTAATCTGTGATACAGATTCAGCAATGAGACGTGAGAATCTTTTCTGCAAAGCAATCATTAATCCATCTCTTATCGGCCAAACTTCAGTTGTGTTTATTGTTGCAGAGCCAATATGTCTGCTGAAACCAAGAATCCATTCCCCTGTGCGAAAAACTCCCTCAGCACCTGCTAGACTTGTACACATCCAACAGCTCAACGATCAGTCAGATGTTGGTATGGCAAGGAATCACTCGGAACAACTGCAAGCATTATTAGAGAAAGGAAGACTGGAGATTCATTGCAAGATCAGGCAGAAACAGTGAAGATGGCTATGACAAAAGCAGCCAACCAAGGCTAGAGTAGAGGAACATCCTAATTGAGATTGAAAACAAGAAATTATTAGGGTACATTCAGAGATTAGGCTACAAAGGCAGTCGAATACCAACAGTTATAGATGACATACAGTCCCTCAGTAGATTGTTTTTACAGTGCTCTTTTTCTTTTGTTAACATCGAAAAGACTGATAGCATTATTCAGCTTAGCAAATATGCTCTTAGCATTTGGATAGATAAAGAATGGGTGAACCCCAATCTTCGGTGCAAATGCATCGGTATAGATGATAGGACCTTTGTCCTTTTTGCTTGGACCTTTGTCCAGACTCCAGATACTCCACATTTTTGCAAAAAGGAAAAAACTGCTAGAATTGTCCTACGAATGAAAGAATCATCTAATATTTGGCCATTATGAAAGGGGCCGGCCGGGAGGATACAATATAATCAGTCTGTCATCACTTGTTACAGAGGTAGAACTGTTACAACACAAAGAATAAAAGGGATAATTTCAAAAACCTCCCCCAAGGTTTCTGACTGTTTCACTGACCTCCTCCCAGGTTTCAAAAATTATACTAATCTCCCTTGAGGTTAATTATCTCGTAACATTTAGATTCAATCAATAATTAAAAAATGATATTAGAAGAGAGAAAATAATATGATTTCATCATTGCCCTCTCGTCTATTATATTATTTAATTAATTTAATACAACCCACACATTAAAAAAAATACAAAAATTTGCTATTTATCGTTAGGAATCAAATCATATATAGCAACAAAATATAGTATACCAATTTATATTTTTCACTTAATACAAGATCTAAATTATTTTTTTTAGTTACATACCCATTGTCAAATATGATCAATAATAAATAATCAAAAAAATTTGCAATCAAAATATTTTACAGAACAAAATTTAACATTATAATATTCTTGTCAATATATTAAAATTAGTTGTTGAGATTTTTATGATATTAATGTTTGCTCTTTATAATATTTTGATTACATATTTTTTTATTATTTGTTATTGATCATGTTTGACAATGAGTTTGTAACTGAAAAAATAATTTGAATCTTACATTAAGTGAAATATGTAGAATAATATGCTCTTTTTGATGCCATACATGATTTAATCTTTCATGATAAATAATAAATTCTAGTGTGTTATTTAATATTTGGACTAGTATTAGATTAATTAAATAATTTAGTAGACAGGGGGTAATAGTGATATCATATTATTTTTTTCTCCTAATATTACTTTTTAATTAATGATTGATTCTAGATATTACAACATAATATTTCATAAGGGAGGTCAGTATAAATTTCAAAATTTTAAGAAAAGCCAGTGAAATATTCAGAAACCTCCTTTGAGGTTTCTGAAATTATCCCATAATAAAATCGAGCGGGGGTGCAGCATTGATGTAGAAGTCAACCTAAGTTCTTAGGTCCGTTTTGGTTATCATAAAGATATTTGTTGCAAACACACAAGAAATGTGTTTTCGATGGTATATGAAACAAATAAGGAGCATAAAATTCCAACAACCTAAACATTGGATGAGGACCATTAATGGAGAAAGAGATGGATAGCCACACGACCTCAACTTTAGGGCATTTGGATTTGGGGTAGGAAAAGTCAACAAAGAAATCATCCGGTCCGATTTATGAATTTTGCATAAGATGTAATTCAGTTTACACATAATATAACTTATTTTACACAACGTATAACTATATAACAAAATTTTATGGGCCACACACATAGTGTGAAAAATGACGTATAAGATAAAATTTAGACCTTTGTTGTAAAACTAATAAAACAAACGACCAAAAGTAGGGATCGGAATAGTAGAGTGAGAAGCAAAGAGAGTCCAGATTTCAAGGTTATAAATGAAGTAGGATTCACCCCTATATATAGGTGATCCAAGATCAAAGGTACATGAACCCTATTAAATACAAATACATGAATTTAGTACATCAAGTACATCCATAAATGAGTTCATCCAATATACCAATGAATCTAGGGAGAATACATGTGCCAATCATCTAGAGAATACAAACGGACATCTTCATCTTGTAATCCTTCTTGAGAATACCAATGGACATCCACATCTTATCATTATTTCATAACACTCCCCCTTGGATGTCCATGACACAAAGAATATGTCTCGTTAAAACCTTACTAAGGAAAAATCCAGTGGGATAAAAACCCTAGTGAAGGAAAAAGAGTACACTATTCTTGTGTAATAAATTCTCCCCCTGATGCAAACATTATATGAGATCTTTTAGCCGACGCATACCAATATTCTTCACCAGTTTCCCAAACATAGCAGTCGGCAAAGCCTTGGTAAACAAATCTGCCAAACTATTATCCGATCGAATTTGTAGCACGTCAATCTCACCATTCTTCATTCCAATGTCGTCTTGTAGTCGAGGAACTAATGATATATCTGGTCTTGTACAATTAGTAAGATAATAAGCGCACCAAATGCACTGAGATATGATACTTCAGGACCAAGTATCTCTTCATGTTCCTCTGGTGGCCTAAAGGGATCCTAATAAGGATCCAATGATCTGACGACCATTGGGGTACTTAATGTATGTGTTTTATTCATACGGAACCGCTTTAATACCTTCTGGGTATAAGCAGTTTGGTGAACAAAAATTCCACCTTCTAAATGCTCAATTTGTAAACCAAGACAGAATTTTGTCTTTCCAAAAATCTTTGATCTCAAATTCTTTCTTCAAATATTCGACAGTCTTTTGGATCTCTTCAGGAGTTCCAATTGAGATCATCAACATATATTGTAATAATCACAAAATTTGACCCATTTTTCTTGATAAAAACACATGGACATATTGGGTCATTGGTATAACCTTCTTTAGTTAAGCATTCATTGAGGCGGTTATACGACCAGATTGTTTGAACCCATACAAAGACTTTTGTATTCTAATAGAATACACATCTCTAGGATTTGATTTACATGCTTCAGGCATGTTGAATCCTTCAGGGATTCTCATGTAAATATTATTTTCAAGATTCCCATACAAATAAGCAGTGACAACGTCCATCAGACGCATATCAAGTTTTTCATGCACTGCAATACTCATAAGATATCTAAATGTGATCGTATCCACTACAGGTAAATACGTTTCATCATAATCAAATCCAGGCCTTTGTGAAAAACCTTGGGCTACAAGCCTTGCTTTATATCTCACTATTTCATTCCTTTTCCTTACAAAAATCCATTTATATCCAACTGGCTTGACACCTTCAGGTGTTTGGACTACAGGTCCAAAAACATTCCTTTTAGCCAGTGAATCTAATTCAAATTGTATCGGCTTTTTCATTTTTGGCCAATTATTTCTATGCCGACATTCATCAACCGATCTAGATTCATGATTCTCATCAACTTCTATAATATCAAGTGCTACATTTCATTAGGCTCCAATTAACTTTTCTATAATTTCATTCTCTTCAGGAGTTGGCTCTTCGGGAGCTGGCTCTTCAGGAGCGCCCTCTTCAGGAGGTTAAATTTTGTTATGACATTTATTTAATCTCCGGAGATATTTGAAATCAATTTATACCTTATATAGGTAGGCCGGCCTTTATTTGTAGCACTTGTACATGTCCTTCAGGGACGTCAATTTTAATAAGAGTGTTTCCTGCAGGAAGAATTGATTTGATAACTCGTATGGAGTCGATAAATATAACTTTCTTCAAATGAAGAATTTCTTGAACTTCTAGTTCACATTATTTTATATGAGAATCGAGGAAATCTAATTTTCAGATGATTTCCTTTCGGTTGATCTTCCTCCCCCTAATGTTGGGATAGATCACTCATCAATAGATCATTCATCAATATGTAATCATAAAAGGTGATGCATATCCGACATCAATTTCTTTTGGAGCCATGTATAATATAAAGGGGGTATGTATAAATACTTGTCGACATTCAAATGCTCTCATATATTCTTTGGGATCAGTAAACTGCTGGTTTACTGCAGGTGATGATTATAAAGCAAATGAGAATGAAGATAACTATATCGATAACCATTTCACCCTCGAATGATTAATATGATATAATCAACTTTTATCTCACTTGATTTTGATTATTATCTCATTCAGTGTCTCGGATAAATTTCTTTGTGACTTGGAAGAGAGTAGTGCATGATTTATGACAATTTTAATTCCTTCAGGGAGAAATAGAGTGGCTCTTCCGGAGCACTCAATTAATTTTGCACTATCATTGATGGTATTAACATTTGTCTCTCCCATCTCCAAAAATATCTTTTATTTGTCAATATAGTGTGCGTATAAGCACTATTAACGAGACATATGTTATCATCACCATAATTTGATCCCAAACATTTGGCATCCATTTCTTCTTCAGGAAGAAAATAAATGAAACTAAATATTGATAAAAGATACAAGAATAGACATATGCAAAGTAAATAGATAAAACTAACAACATATCAAACAACATACCAAAGTAATAGACAATCCTGCAAAACTAACAACATATCAAACATCTAGACAAATATTAAATATATGATCATTTTGCATCTTCAGGATGCTCAAAGAAATCGGCAATATCCAGGTGTGTCATGTCAGCATCATCATCATCATAAGCATTCTTTTGGTCGATAAAATTTGTCTCGACATCTTTGTCCTTCTTTTTCAATGATGCTTGATAGAGGTCAACAAGATGCTCAGCCGTACGACAGGTACGGGACCAGTGACCTTCCATACCACACCGGTAGCATTTTTCTTCATAAATTTTTTTTTCTTCTTCTTTCGGATCGTAGTCATTTTCTCTCTCTTGAGAAATATTTTGTTGCTTGTCATGGTGATAATTTTCACGAGGCACAAATCTACTACGATCTCGTTTACGGCCACGACTACGTCTACGGTTACCTCTACGGTCACGTCCACGACCTCGACCAGAATTTTGAAATTGAGTCCCATTCGCTTCAGGGAATGGACTTGCAATAGTTGGTCGGGACTCGTGATTTTTCAACAATAATTCATTATTTTGTTCAGCCAAAAGGAGACATGCAATAAGTTCAGAATATTTCTTAAATCCTTTCTCTTTATATTGCTGCTGCAGGAGCATATTAGAGACATGAAAAGTAGAGAATGTTTTCTCTAACATATTTTCATCAGTGACTTTTTCGCCACACAATGATAGTTGAGAAGTAATTCGGAACATGGCTGAATTTTATTCGTTGACAGATTTGAAATCTTGTAGCCGTAAATGAAGCCAGTCATATCGGGCCTTTGGAAGAACAACCAACTTCAAGTGGTCGAATCTTTCTTTCAAATCTAGCCAAAGAACAAGAGGATCTTTGACAGTAAGATACTCTACTTTTAGTCCTTCATTTAAATGACGACGAAGGAAAATCATGGCCTTAGCACGGTCTTGATTTGAGGCATCATTCTTATCAACAATAGTATTACCAAGACCCATTGCCTCAAGATGAATGTCAACATCCAAAACCCACGATAAATAATTTTTTCCAGAAATATCAAGAGGTATGAACTCTTGTTTTATGAGATTAGCCATAAGACTATGCAATAGATTCGTAGGAAAGAATATTACCTTGATAAGTAGTCAAAAGTTGTTTGGGCAGAATCTTGTCTCGTGCTTCACTTTTGCTTCGCGTCTTTCCTTCACTCAAAGTAGAGACTCGTGCTTTTCCTTAGCTCAAGGTAGAAACTCGTGCTGATAACGTGTTGTAAAACTAATAAAACAAACGACCAAAAGTAGGGATCGGAATAGTAGAGTGAGAAGCAAAGAGAGTCCAGATTTCAAGGTTACAAATGAAGTAGGATTCATCCCTATATATAGGTGATCCAAGATCAAAGGTACATGAACCCTATTAAATACAAATACATGAATTTAGTACATCAAGTACATCCATAAATGAGTTCATCCAATATACCAATGAATCTAGGGAGAATACATGTGCCAATCATCTAGAGAATACAAACGGACATCTTCATCTTGTAATCCTTCTTGAGAATACCAATGGACATCCATATCTTATCATTATTTCATAACAACCTTATATATTTTTTGCCCAAATCTTGGCCATTAACCTTTCAAAATAGTTGCAGGAACTGTTCCTGCCGCAAATCCAAGGCGTTTAGGATTTGGGATAGGAACGGTCAACAAAGAAACTGTATGAATCAGTTTTGTGCATTTTACATAAGATGTAATTCAGCTTGCATATAATATATCTCACTTTGCACAATGTGTAACTATAGAACAAAATTTTATAAGTCTCACACATGATATGAAAAATAATGTATAAGATCAAATCTGAATCTTATATATATATTTTTTTGACAAAATCTTGACCATCAACCTTCCGGAACCGGGAGTTTACCATCCGACAACATGATCAAGAGTCTTTAACAAGAGCCCCACAAGAAATGGTCGTGAATCATTTTCCTCCTTAATAAAAGGTCCTGGACGCAAATCTATTCTGGCAACATTACCACAAAAAATTGATACTATGATCTCAGAACAGGCTTTGGCTTTCCTGACCTAAACAATACAATATCCTTTTTATAGGGTGTGTTTTGATATCAAATTATTTAGAATAATATTTTTAATAACATTTTAAGCACATTTTTCAATTACTCTTTTTATATTTTTAATTACCTCCTTACATGACATATATAATATCACAAAAAACATTTTACATGATAATTCTAAAAAAAAATTCAAATAATCTTCAACCCAAATTTGTTACTTTGGGACGAATGGGAGGTGCTGAAGGCTAAGGCTTTATTTGGATTGCATTTTTCTAATTTTTTGTAGAAAAATTAATCTAGCGATTTGATATATATAAAATAAAAAAAAGTGATTGAAAAATGTGTTCATGAAAAGTATAGCAATTTGTCTTTAAAAAATTGCAATCCAAACATACCTTTAGTTACAGGCTTCAACAGTTTCAGGATTGGTAGAGGTCCAAAAAACAATGTTTTAAAAACCGGACCGTTAATTGAATCGGTAAAGTGAAAGGGTCGAGATTCAACTGGTCCGATCGGTTCAACCTTAGTTCAATGAATTTTTTAAAAAATAATTTATATAAATATATATGTACAAAATAAGACATGTAATGGACTAATTTAATACTTTACATGATGAAAAGTTTACTATTTTTGAAGAACTTGGATTTTTAAAAATAATTTATTTATTTTTTAATTATAAGTTAAAACAAATAAATTTCATCTCAATTTCAATTATATCTACCAAAAAATCTTAAATCCAACCAAAAAATATCACAATATTTTGAAATTATACAAAATTCACGTCTATGAGAATTTAGACATTGTGAACTTAAATTTTAATTTACGTTTTGAGATTTAAAGATTGCAATTTAAAAAAGAAAGTTTGGAATTCGAAAGAAGTCAAGAGAATCGAAAATAGAAATGCAAACTTAATAAGAAACAAAAAATGAGATAAAAGTAAGTGGTTGTGGCATTAAATAATTTGGGTTAAAAAAATAATTCTTTTTTAACTTTTTTAATTTAATGGACAAAAATAAAATTAAAAGATGTAAGAAAACATCAATAAATTAAAAATAAAGATGTTTGATTAAAAAGGGAGTGACAAAAGAAAAGAGGATAGAGAGAAAGAGAACGAGAGAGAAAAAGAGAAAGAGAGAGTTGAAAATTAAAAAGAAAGTACCATGAGAGGATGAGATTTTATAAGAAAAATAAAAAAAAATATGAGTGTTTGTTTTATATAAATAAATTATAAAAAAATTAATAAGATATAATAGTGCAAAGGTTACTATATTGGTCTTCTATTACAAAGGTATGAGTTCGAATCTTGAAACTACATTTTTGCAAAACGTAAAAAAAAAAAAAAAAAAAAAAATTGAAAATCGGAAAAAACCGATTCAATCCGGTTTTACGATTGAACCAATTTTTTGACCGATTTTATAGCATGATCAATCCTTACATAGAATCGGATCGATATCATGACCGATTCGCGATTCAATCGATCGAATCGGCCGATCCGGTCCGATTTTTCAAAACATTGCAAAAAAGAGGGTTACCCTAGCCTGAAACATTCCGTCAGAGCTATCTGCTCCTAAGTACAAAAATAATAATAAAAAAGAAAAAGAACAACAGCAAAAACCCAATTTAACTATTTTGCAGTCTCTCTGTTTCATTCTGTCATTCGTTGCCCCATTTAAGATTTAACGAGGGCTGGCTCTGGAGCTGTAGAAAGCTCTGAAACTGTACACATACACCTAGAAAATGGAAGAAGGGTTGTTGGTGAAAGAGAGAGAAGTGAAGAGAGAAAGGCTGACATGGGGTGTTATAGGCCAAGAAGCGAAGAGACTTTGCTACATAGCAGGACCTATGGCGGCTGTGACTCTATCCCAGTTCTTGCTCCAGATGATATCTTTGATGATGGTTGGGCACTTGGGTGAACTTTCACTTTCTAGCTCCTCCATAGCCATTTCCTTTTGCAATGTTACTGGCTTCAGCGTTCTTGTAAGTTCCTTCTCTTTTGTTCCTCTTCCAGGCTTTTACTGACGTTTTCTTGCAAGTATTTTTAAGCTTTAGGAGAGACATTGAAAACTTACATGCGACCACTGTGTGACGTTCCTGTTTTGTTTTCTGTCACTGTAAATGGCCAAAAAAGTCTCCAAACTTTTTGAAATTCTTAACCCTTTTTCTGCCCAAAAAAAAAAATCACTCATCTTCTCAAAACCAGCCTTTTAGGTCATTCCGACGAGTTTAGGTCTTAATGTGACCGGAAACAAGTAAATGACCTGTTAATGTAGATTGCTCAAAACAATTGCTTTCTTCGGCTTCTTCTTATAAGCAGTTTATCTCACTTTTAGTACTCACAGCCTCTTTCTTCGGAGCAACGGCTTTTTTGGCTTCTTCTCACCAGCGACAACAATGGCAATAGTAGTCTTCACAGGAGCAGGCTGCTTGAACGAATTATTCACCTTAAAAATAGTTTTTCCGATGCCAGATGCCTTTTCAACTAAACCGACAAAAGCAACTTGAAATTTGCCAGCAACTTCTGCTTCTTTTTTTGAAATTTTTGGACAATCGTGTAGGGACCCGATCTAGCTATGCCTCCTTAATTGCAATAATTGCCTCCTTAATCATCTGAAAATCGGCCATGGATGAAAATTGAAATTCGCCATTGCTGAAATTGAAGATCGAAATTTGGATCAGATTCAATCGCGACCTTGTTGCGACCAAATTTGACATGAAGGAGATGGGTGGAAGTGCTGGAGTGGGAGAGGAAGAAGGAGGAGGGGTAGGGGGAAAAGGAGGGGAAGGGGTCCCAGTGGAGATGGGGACGGGAGTGACGGTGGAGGAGGGGGTAGAATGGGAAGAGAGAGAGAGAGAGAGAGAGGGAGAGAGGTTGCGGTTGTGGGAGAGTACGGCGGTGGAGGTTGGGAGGGGAGTGACGGTGAAGGAGGGGATGTTGGGTTGGGTGCCGGGAAGGTGGTGGCGGAGGAAGGAGAGGTGGTGGTGTTGGTTTGGTTCTTCGGGTTTAATTACATTTAGCTCCTTTTAGCTTGATCAAAATACAAATTAGTCTTGAAGTTTGAGGTGTTTTTGTGAAAAAGTTCAGGTAATTATTTTTAGACATTTTTGTACTTGAAAATCTACACTAACTGGATTAAACTCGCCGAAATAATCCAACAGGCTCATTTTAAAGAGATGAGTGACTTTTTTGGCAAAAAAAAAAAGTTTTAGTGATCAAACGGTGCAATTTTAAGTAGTTTGGTGACAATTTTTGTCATTTACTCTTTGTCTGCTTCATCAACTTTAGTGGAGGAAGAAGCGAATCGATGTTATCAAATCGTCCTGAAATTGAACTCTTCAGATTGTACGCACAGAAGTCTTGACAAAATCTGACTCGTATGGATAAAATCCAGTTTCCAACCTTGCCATCAAGATTTGACTTCATAATCATGAACTTCTTTGTTTTCTTCGTTCCTCTGAGATTTTGCTATGATATTTAATGTTCTAATGTTTGTGTGATCAATGATCAGTGAAAGATTATGTTTGATTTTTCTACCATACTACAATGAATGTCTCTATCAAAATTAATAAGACATTGTTTTTCCTCGCTGATAATTAATGCAGACATGAATAGGAGGAAAGGCAGAAAAGTTTTGAGTACGGCCATTTATTATACTCTGCAATTGCCTCTGCCAACTGCTAAGGTTCTTGATTAATTTTTACTTTGGGTAACATATATATTTTTTGTTTCTTTTTCATTTTGTTCGTTTCTTGTGGAGGAGGGGGGGGAGGATGCCTCAAGAATTTTGAACTCATTGACAGAGGTTATGGAAAATTCAATCATTCCTAATTCGAGTGTCACCAAAGGAAATATTTCTGTCATGCTGCTAATAAGGACAAAAGCTGGACCTCCATTAGTACAGCAGAGGGTCCAGAAGACAAAACTTCAAC